GGCTACAACCGGAGGCCCAACCTGTTGATGTCGCTTGCTGGCCATAGCGGCGGCCCTGACAGGCCCTCAATGTAGGAAAGAAAATTTTTTCCTGCGTTCAGTGCGTTCACGTTGGCTGATGTTGTTAGGCTCTGCGGGAATTGCATATCAATCCCACCTTCGTCGCCAGTATTGTAAACTCGTGTGTGAGTGTGTGGGTTGTTGTTGTGAGGGAATTGACACGCAGGAGCCATGTGCAAGACAGATCTTTATTATAACACAGATGACAAGCGATTCAAAGATTTCCCTGCAACTGTCAGGGTATTTATACTAGCCAGAAGCAACTGTCAAGCCCAACTGTCACGAGGCCAGCCAATCAGATGCTGTGCCTTGACCAACCAATTAGAATGCAACACAGGTTGTTGCTGGGTTATAACACCAATAGAAGAATATATGCAACTTTATATGCTATTTTTGTTTACTGAACTATGCTGCAATATGTGACATCAATGGGGAAATCAGATCTTTCACTTTAGGAAGTGGGAATGAAGGACACAACAAATATTTTTGTTGTTGTTGTCACACGTATCAAACACAATAACATTATGTTATTCATAATGCATCCTTAAACAATTTTATAACCAGTAGGAGCTCTTCTGGAAAAGAAAAGATTACATCAGTTCTAACAGAACAAGAAAAAAATCATAGACTTATAGAAAAACTTTTCTAAAGTTAACTACCAGCAAAGGATCCAAGTGAAAGTAATACCAAAGCAGGAGGTTCCTCAGCTATCTTTCTCCACATAATTCTACTCATATGTTCAATTATCATAAGTGAACTCTATTGCTTTATATTTTTGAACATTTATTATACCCTATGCCAGTGTTGGTGAACCTTTTCGGCACTTAATGCCAAAACAGGAGGACGCGCACACGCAGGGGTGTGCTGGAAACCGGAAGAGCAGTTCCCCGGGGGTTCATGTCACAATCTAGTCACAAACTAGTATGCCTTGTTATACAAAGCAAAAAAAAAAGGGGGGGGGAGATAAGTTTATATCCAATGAATTCCCATAACAAAAGTTAAACATTCAAGATTCTAAAACACACATTATTTTTTTAACAAATCTGTTCCTATTTCTGAAGCAAAGGACTCTAAGCCAGAGGTTTCTTCGTCCATCACAGAAGCCTCTTGCAGACTTTGGAACTGCCAACTGATGCTTCAAGGTGATAGATTTTTTTGATCAAAGCAAAAAGCACAGTTTTTATTCACTGTTAGTATCAGCCTCGATATAGATTGCTTGCTATCGGCTGCCATAGCAACGGGGAGAAGGGTTTCAGTATTTGGAAAGGGAAACATGCTGGAGGAGATTTCTTGGGATGAAGAGGGAGTTTTGTTCTCACCATCTTCTGTGCATGCTGAATGGACTTGTTTAGGCCTGGTCAAGTCAACCATCTTTGCATACCAGATGAATGAAGCCACCTGAAGATGTACCCCACATGACATCCTTGGAGGCTGGAGATTGGACATTCAGCTTGAGGTTGTTGGGTGGGAAAATTTTGGGTAAACTTTTGATATGTACAATTCCATGCCTTTAGCCTCAGATCTTGCTTTACTTTTGTTGCTATCAGTTCATATCCAGTAAAAGTACCTTTTCTCTAAAACAATGGAGTTGGGGAGGGGGGGTTCCTTTCTTGGATTTTAGGAGGAGGCATGTCTCACAGTTAGAAATTGCAATGGTTCCAATGTATATTTTTGTACCTTATCCATCATTACAAGATTTCTAAACTGTGTTTGGAAATACCCAGAATTCTTTATATTTATCATACCACTTCAGTGAACCTTCAGACAGAACCTTCAATGAATAATCGGTTGTTTACCAGTACCAATCTGCTATGCAACACTTAATAGCCATATGCCGAGCATCAAGGTTGCATCCCTTGCAATTCAATTGTGCTCAGAAGAAATTCCCAGAATTTTGAGATAGGAATTCCTAAATACACAGAAAATCTTCAAAGAGCTAAAAGTGGTTTTAAAAAAAAATCATTTAGATTATCTAAAAACCATTTGAATTCCTGAAATATTACATGTAAATAATAGGAGACAAAAAATATGAAAAAGGTATATCTTTACCTTTTGAGTATGTATAACTTGACTCCTGGTGATTACGCAGAGAAGTCCATACAATTTTCTTGCTAACGTTTTTTTAAAAGTGGTTTGCCATTGCAGGTAATCGTCAACTTACAACAGTTCATTTAGCGACCATTTGAAGTTACAACAGCTCTGAAGAAAAGCGACTTATGAGCTTTTTTTCACACTTATGACCACGGCAGCATATCCATGGTCATGTGAACAAAATTCAGATGCCTGGCAACTGATTCATATTTAGGAGGTTTGCAGTGTCCCGGGGTCATGTGATCACCTTTTGTGAACTTCTGCCAAGCAAAGTCAATGGGGAAGCCAGATTCACTTAACAACCATATTACTAAGTTAATAACTGCAGAGATTTACATAGCAACTATGGCAAGAAAGGTCATCAAATAGGGCAAAACTCACTTCACAAATGTTAGCAACAGAAATATAGAGCTCAATTGTAAGTGAAACACTATCTGTATTTTTTTCCTAGGCTAGCACAAAGTCTCCACTTGGCTTTATTGATAAAGCAGACTAAATTTCCTGGTGTTTGGTTCCTAGCCCAGTGACTTTAACTACCACACCAAACTGCTTGTCATGTGCTTATCTCTCAAGAAAAACCAGCTGATATCAACACAATTAATGCATAATATTGATCAATATTGATCGTTATTACATTTGGAATATCCTTGATTTTTTTGTTAGTTAATGAAAACAGAAGACAAGAAAGTAGAATTTTAAACTTACCTGGTACTGTCCATTTTCTAAGTCAATGGTGATGGTTACTCCATGACGTAGATGCTCGGTGGTGCTAAATATAGATGAAATCCATGTAGTTCCAATATCATTATCATTGACATAGCTTAAAGGGTGAGCTTCAGGGTTTAGTCTGAGCACTCTGTCATTAGTTGTGTCATCTGCACCATTAGGAATGCAATACCTCTGAACCAAAGGATGTACCCTTGGGTGACTTCCAGGACAGCGACATTCTGATTGAATACGAAGTTGAGGAAATTTTCCAGACCATACTTCAAAAATGTCTCTAGAATAATAGAAATAAATAAGAAATCAGTAAGGCACATCACAAAGAAATGAGCAAGGGTGATTTTTAAATGGCTAGATACAAGATTATGCACACATGTCCTATCCAAGGACTTGCAGATCAAACCATCAGACTGGTAGGCATAAAAGACACAGACTTCTCAACTATGGCCCAGTTTTTACAGAAGGATTTTCTAATGGAAGGTAATTGATCTCCCTTCTAACTGTTTTCAAACAGGCTTTAAAGAACTGCTTTTAACTGAAAAGCACAGGTAATCCTCAGTTAATGATAGTAATGGGGACCAGCATTTCCTTCGTTAAGCAATGCAATTGTGAAACACAATGTCACGTAACTGCAGCTCTTAGCAATGGTAATGCAGGAACTCCCCATTACTATCATTAAGTGAAGATGATAGGTGGTTAAGAAAGTCCAAAGTGGATCGCAAGTAGGCCAGCAGGTAGGTTAAAGTCCAGCATTGAGTGTGGTGGGGCCAGCTTCTGCCAAACAAGGGAAGATGTGCAAGCAGCTTGTAAGGCATGCTGTGATCACAATTGGGTGTGGCTGCTGGCAGGCAGGGAAAAGTGCAAACAACTTACTGGAGCAATTGAAGATATTCCCTGCCAGCTTCCCCATTGATTTTGCTTGTGGGAAGCCAGCAGCGAAGGTTGCAAATGGCAATAAGATTACTGCAAGTGTCATAAGCATGAGACAATTGCCAAGCATTCAGATTCCTACCGTATTGTGTAACTGCAGACTTGCTATGAACTTTGGACACTGTTCATTAATCTCCTTTTTCAGCAGTGCCCTAACTTTAATGGCATTAAGCATGGACTACCTGAAAATTCAGAATTATTGTGCAAATAATCATTTTAACTTTAGTTGTCCTTTATTGGTTTTCACTGAAAAATAAGTTGGGAGTTATTCTTTCACTCAACTATATTTTAGATTTATTCCATATGATGTTATTAATTTATTTATGCACTTTTAATGAAACTTTTTTGAGAAGTTTCATTATCTAAAAATGGCAGTATAGACAAATTTAAATAACTCATACCTGGAATATATTAATACAAGCAGTTCTAACATGAATTTTTGGATAAAAAGATTATAAATAGGAAAGGAAATTTCTTTTGCCACAAATTTCTTCCTATGAGTCACTAATCTCTGGATTTTGAAAAATTAATATTTTCAGTAATGCAATACCACAGATCATTTCAAATCATTTATTATTATTTTTCTGCTGTATAAACTTCAAAGCTCCACACCACAGTATTATGGAAAGTGCTTAGATTTAGATTTAGATTTAGATTTATTTATTTATAGGCCGCCCTTTTCCCTGAGGGGACTCAGGGCGGCTTACAATCAAAAAGGAAGGGGAGTGTAGGACAATACGAAAAAAAGAAATGTGCACAAAGTAAATTAGACAATAAAACTCAACATTCACTCAGCATTCGGGAGGGNGCCCTAAAAAGTTGGCTTTTCCAGCAAGCCAGCCTGGCCTGAACAAAACAAAATATAGCATTGATCACTGTTAATTTTAATTCATTTAAAAAAAATGTATTGTCAATTTTAATTGGGTTTGGGATATTCCGTTTAATTTCTTTTTAACTTTTATATCATGTGTTTCTTTTAATTGTTGTACAATTCCTTGGGAGAAGGGCAGCATATAAATCTAATAAATCTCAAATCTCTCTCAGGCCATTATAAAATCAGGGCTCCATAACCTTACCTATACAGTAACTAGTAATTTTACACATACAGAGGTCTGTAGGAATGCCTTCCATTTTCAGTATCAATTTGTGAAAACCAGGATTAAAAGGAGCTGCACTTTTCACACCTTCTATAAAGGAGTAAAGCAAAAGTGAACCAACAATCAGTCCATGGAGTACTTGTGTTCTCTTCAGGATTATAAAATAGATGATGCGACCATGAGCTGGTGTGCTAAGAATATTTAAGCTCCACTTAAACAGTTGGTCTAGTTGATCATGAATAAAAAATCTGTCAAATCTGTGCAAGGATTGACTCCATTTTTGGACACAATCTGCTTCAGTGGGGCATTTAAAACATTTGTATAAATCAGTTTCTTTGCCTACTGATTAAAGAAGTGGATAAAACTCTTGAATCTCTTGAATACTATTTGCATGCCTTCCTAATTTAGTTTATAAGGTTCTTTCTTCAAGCACTTGACCATTTCAATGAGTTCTGGGATTATTAAGATTTTCTTTACACAAGATGTTACCCACCAACTTAAAGCCCCTAATCATGAGCTCTTACTTAAGAAGCCATCCCTGGGTCCGAGTTCAACAGCGATTGCAGTTCTGGGAAAATCTTAAAGGAAATGGTTCATTTATTACAATTCAGATACATTTTTGGCCATTCTAATGGATCATCTGTAATTGTAGAGATAGGGAAATTGGGCCAGCTTGGAGAAGGCCAATTAACACGATTAGGGAAGACATTCATAAGACATAAAAATAAAAAATGAAGGAGTTATATATGTTTAGCCTTTCGGAAAGACAACTACAGGATATGGCAGCACTCTTCAAATATCTGAAAGGTTAATTGAGAAAAGCTGTTCATGTTTGTTTCAAAATACAGGTGACAAATAATGAGTTTAATTTACAAGAAGGCAAATTTCAATTACATGTTAGAAAAAGGCCACTAACTAATAGATCAGTTTGATAGTCAAAGAAGTTTCCCAAAAAGTACTGGGTTTTCTGTCATTGGAAGTAATCAAGACAAAAATGAACACACATCTTTCTGAAATGCATTAATCTGGATTTCTGCATTGAGCAGGGGGTTGGAAGTGATATCATAAATACACTATACTAAATACAACTATAAGGTTCTATGATTCTATAATCTTTTGGATCCCTATCATCCATCCATCCATCCATCATCTATCTACCTATCTGTAAATATACACACTATATATAAAATTGTGCGTGTGTGTGCGTGTGTGCGTGTGTGCGTGCGTGTGTGTATTAAATGTATATAAATTAAAAATAAATTTTAAATTATTTAATTTGGGTAAGAAACAAGCTAGTCTTCAGAATTCAGAAGATATGCTTCTTTTAGATGGACTAAACGTCCTTTCTACCTGTGTGTGTTTGGATCCCTTTTAAATTATGCATTTTTCCCATTGTATTATTAGCTAAATATATAGTTTTAGTGATTACTGGAAAACCTGCATAGATTTGTTGGATTTCATAATACACAATTTACTAAACAAGAATAAATATGAATCAGTGCATTTTGTGAAATATTTCGTGAAATGTATTTTTTCCTGCTCATCAAATTCGTAGGATCAATATCAATCAACTCAATATCAGTCTGCAGTTTTCTAAATTCAGCATAATACTCCATATGTATAGATTATGCATGTACTATTGGAGGAACGTATATGTAGATTGACCTTAAACTCATCAAAGCATCAGTAACCCACAATCAAACTAAAGCTTAATAAATTTTAACAATGAAAAGATAGGAGATATAATTTATACATATGTAATTAATAGGCTTTTCTATGTATAGCATTTTATGCAGTTTATGTCATTCATATTGGTAGAATTATTTTTTTAAGGACCTTTGTGTTGTATCCTTCCCCCTGTCTTGTCCATTTTTTTTTCTTCAGCCCAATACTTCAGCTTCTGAATAAGCTCAGTCTACATGAATAGACACTACATTAATTCCAAGGTGAGAAAACAGATTAAGGTTATGACCAAAATGACAGGTCTACGGCTTCCTTGAAGGGCTTAATAGAGACAACAAATCAAGAATATTTTTGATGACAATAGATGCAAGAAAATACCAAAGGTAATAGAGGTGATGAGAAATTAGTAATGGCTCTCTATTATATAATCAAAACATTCAAGGATGACATGTTTTATTTTAGTCTTCATTATATCTAAATATTAACATTTGACTGGGATTTATTATTTTTAACTAGCTTTAACTACTTGGGTTCATGAAGGTAATCTGTTCATAATTACCCAGATACAAATTGAAGTAAAATGAAAATTACTGAAACATTATTTTTATACTGAAATACTAGCTTCCTGAATGAAGCAAAACTGATTTTGGAAGCCAGTGTTTTAAGATTTCTACATGATTCAAGAATTCTACAATAAATTACTAAATGTGAATCTCTTGATTCCTTTCTTCTTTAATATGTGAAAGGCACTATCAATAATATGGTCACTGACTTTTCAATAAAGCCTAAGACGAACAAGAATTCATAAAAAATTATGTTGAGGTATTTGTCATTAAACTAAATGAATGTTATATATTAGCAGAAAGTGAATCCATCGTGAAATTATCATTCCATAAATATTTTGATGTTTCTAGAAGTAAAACAGGCAGGCTGTCAAATTGTACACTTCTAAATCCAAACCAAAATAATGGTGGTAAAATTTAGTAACACTTTACTGCATTCCTTTCTCTAGCTAAAATGAAATAAATGTGAGATGAATATATTCCATAACTTAGCTGTGCCACATATGATATGACCTCATTTATAATATAAAAGGAATTGATAGCTTCTTGGCTAAAGTTTTTTGAAGTTAAATGCTATGGGTGCAAAGTTACCATCAGTCATGCAAGAATAATTCTATCATGATGTTAAATGATGTATCCAGGAATAATTTTAAAACTATATATATGTGTGTGTGTGTGTGTGTGTGTGTNTCTCCCTGCCAAAAATAAAAGTAAGTCTCTCGGATGTGCTGTTTTCCCATTTTAGTTTTTGTAATACACACACAGACACACACACACACACACACACCATTTATTTATTTATTGGTAGCTGAGTAGACTTTAAAGTTTTGTTGTAGTCTTTCATCATTTTTACTTTCTAAAAATACTGGGGGGGGGGGATGAAACCAAGTGGGGCAAGGAGCCATATAGGAAATAGAAAAGCATTTGCTAGTTTCTTGGTGCCCAAAGCACTATGTTGTCTGTGCAAATACAAGATTTCAGTAACTTGATTCAATATGAGCTTGTCCATACCTAGGAAGCTGTACACAGTTTACAGAATCTGGATTTGTCAGCGATCCATTATTCTCCATTCCAAAGACACTACAGTCCCTCGCAAAGTATTGCCAGTCTTCCCAACCAATGGAGGGTTGCTTTTTTCTTTGTATTCGGATTGCTTCAGGCTGAGGGCTGAAGAACTGGATTATAACATAAAACACCTGCAAATCAACAGCAAAATATGAATTAATTTGGAAGAAATCTTTAAGGTCATATGTAAAATCTCCTAAAAGTATATCTGATCTGACCTTTCACTTTGTGCTGTAGGACCTCCTGTGAAGGAGAAGTCAACATGTTGCATGGCAGCCCATTTCCACTGCCAATTCTTCCTGACATCTACCCTAAAGCTACTTCCTTGTAATTTTAACTCACTGGTTCTGGTTCTGGTTCTGTTCCCCAGGCCATCAGAAAATAAAGCCAGTTCCCTATTCTGTGTGGCATACCTTCATGATTATGATTCTTTCCTCTCAGGTATCTTTTCTCTGAACTAAACATACCCATTAAATGTTCCTCACAGGGCTCGATTTCCACACTCCTCACCTACCAAGGTTAGCGCTCCTTGGTATCTTTTTTCTGAAATTTCTTCAGTCAGTTATTGCTCTTTCTGAACAGTAACAGTAACAGTAACTTCACATTTGCACTTACTGCAAATGTTGACTTCACATTAATACTTGTTGCATGCTGGCTCTTTATTGTAAATATCTCAGTAAAAATATTTAAATCTTAATTACAAAAATATGACATTTAAAAAAATAACTATTCAAAATGTAATAATATATATTACATTATAAAAATGTAATATATATTCTCAGATTTCTTTAATTCTTATTCCATTTAAAGAAAAAAAGAAATCCAAATAACAGAACTCCAAACCATTTTTTGGAGGGGAGGGCAGTTATCCATTCTGACAATGCAACTCATTTAAATAAATGAATCAAGGAAACCAAGAAAACATCTTGGACACACGGACACACACACACATCTGTATCTGCATCTGCATTGGGCACACGGACACACGGACACACACACACACACACACANAAAGAGAGAGAAAGAGAGAGAAAGAGAGAGAGAGAATTATGCACACATATAACAATAATATTTTAATGAGCAGTACATTACTAGTTGTAAAAGAATAAAACTCTGCCTAGAAGTGCTTACAGTATAGTAGAAATAGAAAACAGGGTGAAAGGAAACAGCAAACAATATTCACATGCTGCTTTCCACAGCTGATTACTCAGTATTTTCTTCAGATATACAATGAATGTGTTTCTTCATTCACATTCTGAAGCTTACCAATAAGCTACTGGACAAGCTGGATGTGTGTTCTGACATGCACCATGATTAAAGCTGAACTGGCCAAGAATTTGGATGCAATGATATATGCCTACATGCTAATGGATCACTTCTTCTGTTTTAATAACTCTTGAAAAACAATCATATGTAACCTTTTGTCCTTTACTGATGCACAGCTTGTTTTAAGGAGCAAGGTGGAGGTTTTAAAGAGAGATTTTGCTGCTGTTGTTCCTACTGTTGCTCCTGCCAGTTTGTACAAATCTATTTCCATTTTGCATAAACAAGTACTCGTGAGTTTAAAGGGATGACTTGTCTTTTCAAATAGATGCTGAGAAAAGCTGGAGTACTTTAATCTGCCTTGATATCCACTCTAATCAAATCAAATGAGACTGGAATAATTGCATCCTAGAAGTACTGAATGTATGAGAAGAAACAAAAAGGTTATGAAAAGGCAAAAGCAAAAGTGAAGCTTTGCAAAATTCATTTGGAAAATCAGGACATATATGTGCAATAGTGCCATTCTATTGTCAATACAGCAGCATACATTTCTGACCAATATAAAAAGCTACAGTTATCTATACATTAAGTCAGAAATGTTATCATTAATGATTCAGGCAGCTTATATTGTATTAAAAATTTTAAGGAAGAGACTGTGAAATGAATAGAAATAGATTTGTATTATGAAAATTTGCTTCCCTGAATAAATAGAATATATAGGTCCTTAGGTTTATTATTATTTCCATAAGTAGCCAATATTGTGTGGGTTTGAGAAAAAATATATGAATTTATTACATTTCCAATGAAAAATCTGAAGCATATTATCGTTACAGCTAGCAGTATTGTTTGGTTCAAAAAAGTTTTCATGTACAAAAAAGAGAGAACATTATCCATTATTCTTCATTAGTTTTATCCATTACCACAGTTTCCTAAAATATGGCCGCTCCTGAGGGACCCCAAGATCCTTTCAGGGGTCCACAACATCAATATGTCCAATATTTACTTCACACACACACACACACACACACACACACACACACACACACACACACACCAAAGCAAAACAAAAGAAAATGTCTCTGTGGATCAAAGTGGGTATTGCTTGCCATGTTTTTTTCTTTTTCCAGCTCAACATTTTTTTATAGCCTGTTACTGTCTTTTGCTGCTTGACTGTTATCATTATAAAAGATACAGGGTTTTTCTACTTTGTTATTTGTAGCATTATCTCATGTTTTACAACATCTTTGCACACAACACGCAGGCAACATGAAATACAACTAGTGGAAAGTTCTCAGTGGTATTAATGCATAAAAAAGAATGTGGTTCCATCTTCACTGTCTTTACCCAGCCAAAAGCTGATGAACAGCCAATTTTCCTTTATCACATTAGCACAGCCATGAGGGAAACGCATTTGTTCTAGTCAGCTACACTAAAGATACTATTACCAATCTAACATATACATGTTTTATATCAGCAGTATTCTCG